TTTTGGAACTTAGGGCCACATGGGTGCCAAGGAGAAGCCAAGCCCTTCCCTTGAGGTTTAATTGCCCCACTGAAGAAGTTTCAGGGCTGTTTCTCAGCTGTTAAACTGAACAAAGCAAAAGGGCTTCTCAATTTCTCTTCTGCCTGGTAGAAATGGTGAAGGAAAGAGAACCAGAAGAGTTTCCTCTGCTGAGGAGAAGCTTCAAATTTGAGTTTCCCTGGTTCTGCATTTAAATCACCAGGTTTTTCCATGGACTTTATACCACCAGGTCTTGTAGTCTGCTCTCTGCAGGGAGGGATTCCTCTCAAAAGGATTGCTGGCACTTGGGAAAACTTTGGACTCCTCCAAACTCTGCTTGTAAAGATTTATGATCACTGCAACAGAGCAAATATCCACAGAGGTGGAGGGGTTTTTGCTGCTTTTTGTAAATGCAAACGGTTTTCAGGCACAGTGTAGGGAAAACTGCTGGTGCTGGGATGGAGAAACACTAGCCAGTGAGGATTTTAGATTAATAAACCTTCCCCTCACATACAGGATTAGGGTTTCAGAGCTGCTGTGGACGACCCTGCTTCTTTTTACGATCCCAAATGACAGACACAAACTTTTAAACATGTGCAGTCTTGCCTTTTCATTAAAAAACCATCAAAACCTGGCAGTTTATCTGCTCAGGTGACAAATCAGACTTAGAGCAGCCCAGCAGGCTTGGAACAACTCACTCCAGAAATACGATCCAGACAAAGGGGGAAAAAAAATTGGCTGATGAACTGCCTTGAATCACACTGAACACCGGCTGGAAGTTCTGCTCTGCAGCAGCATCTAGTGATGGTTTTGTGCACTGAAAACTCAACCCTTTGGTTTGGATTCGCATGGAGGGAACGGCAGGTGGGAGTGGTGGATGGCTGAGCAGCTCCCTCGAAGCCCAGAAGGGACAAGATTCCAGATGGGAATCTCTAAATGTGGTTTAGCCATGGTCACAAGGTTACAGCTGGACAAGACCAACCCCCTGAACCCCCCTTCTGTACCCTCCAGATGAGCCACTGACCTTGGCACAAGGTTTCATAGTGTTTAATTGAGAGGAAAATGGCTTTAAATGGGTTTGAACTGAAAGAGAGCAGGTTTAGATTAAATACCAGGGACAAATCCGTCCCTGTGAGGGTGGGGAGGCCCTGGCACAGAGAAGCTGTGGCTGCCCCTGGATCCCTGGCAATGCCCAAGTCCAGGCTGGACAGGGCTTGGAGCACCCTGGGATAGTGGAAAGTGTCCCTGCCCATGGCAGAGGGTGG